AGTTTTGCTTAATGGTGATCCATTCCTTCATGGAGAAGACTTAGGAGACTTTATAGTGAGATATCCATAGAAACACCATTTATAACTCCCCAAACATCCAGTAAAAATATCCATCTTACCCAACTTTAGGTGCATACAAAGCATGTCAATTATTTCTTCTCATGAACAACTGGTGGTGGATATTCCATTTCAGAAATTCAAGTGAATCTTAGAGCATGAGCTCACAATTTTTCACCAGAAAAGAACTCATATGACAATTAAATAACCAAAAAAAAGAGTTAAAAACAAAGTTCATTCAATATAAGTGAAGTTTAAAACCCAGGTGAATACCTTAGAGATTAATTTGGTCCATGCCTCAGATGATAACCGCTTCATGGAGCCAACCATTGATACTGGCACCTTTTTGTGTAAACACTGAATAGGTTTGTTGTCTAGAACACTTCAGCATGGGGAAAGAAACATTAGAAAAATATAACAATACATCAAGTGTTACCTACAGCTAAACATTGGAAAAGTTAACTGAAACTAGAAAAAGTATATGAATGCCTTTGATTAATCACAGAAGCGGCAAACATCATTGGAGGGTGATGTGCAGGCTAACAACTATACTCAACCACATTAATCAAGGTTTTCAGACAAGTAGCAGATTTTAAATTCATACTTCATGCATGTACATAAAATAGGGCTGACATAGATTCATGAATAAAATTTCTTTCAAAAAAAAAAATAGATTCATGAATAAAATAAAAAGTTGCAAGATACCACTTACGGTGGCATAATATTATCAGCCCACTGACGAAGCCAGTCTGTGGAAATCCAGTAAAATGGTTCTTCAATTGATTGAACAGGGGCTTCAGAGAGAACAGATCGTACTTCTTGTCTCCTCTCACTGATAAGATTCAATTCTTTCTCCTTTCTAACTTTGAATTGTTCGCAAACATCAAGGTATGTCATATTCATGTTGTTTATAACTTCATAAAGATGAGGCGGAAGATAAATGCCACCATCTAAAAGAATCCTATCACCTCCTACGTCCATACCATTGGCAAGACATGCTACATTTGCTTTTTCATCATCTTTCTTGTGACGCCTAAGATTATACATCAACATGTATGCATCACTAGATGAAAATATCTCTGATTTACCGACGCGAATGGATTCTGACGATTGTAACTCAACTACATCTCTATGATTCTGATTGGCAGCAGAATCATTTCCCTCTGAGCAAGTTGATTGAACAACTGGATCACTTTGCACAGCTTTAGTATTGGAAGATGAGGAGCCTTCTCCGAATGGATGATCACCCAATTTTGACACATGTTCATCATCAAATTCCCACCACTGCCCGGTATTTTCATCCTTAATATGAGCAACATAATGACCACTGTTTACAGCAGTTCCTTTGTGAATTAATACAGCAGACAAATCATAAATTAATTCCATTTCAGTAGGCTCAGATAACCTCCGCTGCATGTCCAGTTCTCCAGGAAAAGAAAATGCAGTAGTGATTTTCTTCTTCATTGTAGTCTGTTTATACAAAACAAAGAAAAAATTTAGATAGCATGTTTCCAACTAACATGGAGATATAGATTATTCTTCAAAACTGTGTTACAAGAATCCTCACAAGCAAAAAATTGCACACAGTGAAACAACAAATAATATTCCAACAGTTACAAAAACCGATGATGAGAGTAATAAAAGTTTCATATTTGAAGATATATAACTGCGTTGGGACCAAGGCAACTTACTTTCACATTCCTCATGTTAAAACCTGACATAATCTTTAATGAAAAAGCCCTGAAAGAACATCACAGTATCAAGCATCTACCACAAGTGATAAACTCTGACTGCTGACTTCAGCAAGAAGCAGTAAGCTTAGGGAGGGATTCAGCCAGGTCATAGGTTCAACCTCAATCAGTTTTTTTAAAATTAAATTAAGAAATGTCAACTCTCTTATCAAAAATTCTATCTGGCGATATATTAGTCAAACATGTAATGCAACACCAAATCAGCATGATGCTAAAACAGAAAGTACACAGCATTTGCAGTAAGGATTTATTCCATAGCACAGGGTCCCAGTAATGATTCATAACATTAATTATAAGAGTCATACATCCTGCATAAAATGATGATATTGACTAAAGAATCACATGAAATTAAGACAGATTTCCATTCACCAAAACACAGCAGCAAATTAGAAACTAGGATCACTCCGAAAGCATCCAAGAATAAATACAATTATCAAGCACTAATATAATGCATCACAGAAGATATAAGTTGTAAACACTATTTCCATCAGCACTGAACCAGAACAGACAAAATAAAATTTGTTCTTGGAAAACTAGTCCCGCCTAAAAACCATTATTCATCTCTTCCTTCAGTATTTGCCAACAACCATAATGGCCTTTCTCTTTTTAATCTACCAACAAATAAGAATAGCTCTAAAATGCACAATAAAGTTACTGTTCGGTATTGATCCCCAAACACCAAGAAGCAATATGTCTTGCATAAAATGTAAACAAATAAAAATCCTCATTTTCCCAGTACTGTGCATTCTTCCATTAAAAATAATAAGGATAAAAATTGACAAAACACGTCTGTCTAGGAAAACACATCAGAAATACCTTTGGAAGGAAAACACAGCGCTTAAGCTGAAAATTAAGGACAGAAGGCAGCGTGCGTAACTTGATGCTGCGTGTCGCATCTACTCTCATGTTGCATGACTCACAAAAGTATTGATTATCTCCATTAAGCTCTTCCAAGTTAAGGTAGTCGTCCAAACTCTCATCTAAAGATTTCAAGCCCTTGACATTCAGCTCAAGCTCATAAAAGTCTTCCATCTTTGAAGATGCTTCAGAATCCTTTCCACATTTTGAGCATCTTAAGTCCAAACAACATATATGAATGAAATAAGAACATATAAATCGATTTGGTTATACAGAACCAAAAATTAGATTGTAGAAACTTCCTAGAAAATAAAAACAACAGTAAATTTATCAAGCCATAAATTATAAATCTCTCTATATCTCAAAAAAAAATTATAAATCTATGAAAAAAAATTATAAATCTATGTAAAATCATGCCAGCCAAGAGTAAAAATGAAAAGCTCTTGAAGAGTGAAGACAGAAGCAAATCAAATAACATGAAACAGTAACTGAAAAGTACATGTATCATTCTTATGTTTGAGCAAGGAAAAGACCATCAATGTAACTTCCAAGGGGATGATAAAATTACTGACATTTTGCAATTAAAAACTCCATAGTGAGATAGCAGAAAAAAAAAAATTTAACCAGCAAACTTTCTAGTCCCACTGCCTTCCCTATAGGAAAACAGACAACAAAATATTGACAGAACTGAAATTCAGATAAAAGGTACCAAAAAATAGTAACCAAATAGCAATAACATATCTGGAACTCAATAAAATCCAATCTTACGTTGTTACATGTGACACACTTCCGCGGAAAAGATCTTGAACAATTGTTCTTGCACCAGAAACCCTAGAATGGCTCAGACAATGCTCAAGCAAAGAAAGAAGCAAGGTCAGAAACTCATGGCTATCTTGTTGGACTCCATTATCAAGCTCCAATGTTGTTATAAAGGGAGCTGAATCAATGAAAGCCATTTTACTGGCATGCAACTGTGCAAAAAGCCGAGCGAGTTGATCTAAGACGGGCTGCTGTTTTAAGACATCTGGTTCAACTGAGAAAACACCTTCTCTGAATAATTTATTCATGTAAAGGCACTGCAGTATGCTATTTGCATAGCATGTTGCACCCAAGTTAGTCAGACCTGCCGGTGAGCTAGCAGAAGGACGGAGATCTTTCGACAGGTCTGGACCAAGTGCTTGAACAATATCTGACATTTTCTGCCATAAGCCAGTTTTCCGGCTTCCATTAGGAGGTGGTACCAGACCACAAAAGCAATTTGGGTTGTCTTTTGTATTGACACGGCAACCTTGACAGATTGGCTTCCAAATCATATACAGCTGATTTATATCATGATCAGTTATGTCTCCTGTTGCATGAATTTTCCTACAAAAGAAAAACATAAGGTCTTAAGCACCAATCCCCAACCTATAAAAAAAATATTTTAAAAAAATAGTAGTAGAAAATAACAACTCTAAGGCCATGAAGAAGGAATGCATCTAGAAAAGAAAAAATTAATAATAAAGAGCCAGTACCTTAATATTTCCAAAGTGGTGTCACCATTATCTGCTTGTCTGTGCCTTTTGTTTTTATTTCGTGTAGTTGGTCGGCTCATTTTACTACCGACCAATCCTGAAGTGAAAAAGAGGGGAAACAAAAAGATATCAGTTTAGTAACAATGTTTTTTCACCTTTTTCATTTCTTTAGAAATAATCCTCCTTTATTATGAGCTTTAGTTTGATGAATCAGGGGAATAAGACTCATGCCGAAGACCCCAACCAATTTACTGGAATCAGGTGTCAGAAGGTCATATTAAAATGACATTCAGAGTATAAGTGAAATAACTGAACATCCAGCTTTAACACCTATTGGATAAACTCACAAAAACCAAATCAAAATGATGAATGCACTTATGCTGCTTCCTACAAAAATCTTTGCCATCTTCATCTAGAATTTTCCAACAAAAAGCAGATAGGCAAAGAAGTAAAGAGCTTTAAAGTTGATTGAGCTTGCAATACAAAAAGTTCCCTCCTCTGGAAGAGTTGACTCTCAACCAAGATGATTCAGTTGAGAAACCTCATAATTTTCTTTAGAGATCCCCACAAATCATGGACAAAGAACCTTTGGTGGAAGAAAAAAGGAACAAAAATTGTTACAAAAGCAGTATCTGTGGTTAAACAATCAGAATTATGGAGAAAGAAAACATTAGTGATCAATTCAATCTACAAAAATGCAGAGTGATATAATCGTTTCTACAACTGTTTGAAGGGAACAAAACTGAAGAACAGCAATAAATGTAACACTAATCCAACCCTCCTAGGTGATGCAGATCAATCATATACCCGTACACAATCCAAAGCCCCAAAGCTCCAAACCCTATTGATCAAAGCCGATCTTAAGAGTATCAAAATACTGTCTATAATCTCTCCCTAAGAGAGGAGAATAACAGAACTCTGACCCGATGAAGTCAATATCAGGATTACGAAACGCGTAATCCTTCAATTTGGTGTTAGATTACAAAATTCTCGAGAGACAAATTAAAATTACCAAATTCTTTATGTTTTGCATCAGCTTCAACAACTCAAATTGAAACGAGGAGGAAAAAAAAACAGAAACACTAAAATATCAAGTGGAAGCGAAATTAAATATATCAATGAAATCAACAAAAACGGTCTTCATTTACCTCGCTTTCTCCTGTGGTACTAAACTCCCCGCTTGTGTCCGGCCTCTTACCTTCCCTTCCCGTTCCGTTTATTTTCCTCCTCTTTCTCTCTCTCTCTCTCTCTCTCTCTCTCTCTCTCTCTCTGTTCGGCTCACTTTTTTCTCCTCGTGAAAACCGAAGGAACACTAGAGTAAAATCTATTAATTAATAACAACAGAGACAGGAACATGAGTGTCGTAAATGAAATCAATGCCTTGTTACCTGGAAGCAAGAGGTAAACGAAGGAGTGAGAGGTGGAAGACGATCAGAGAAGAAGCTGGCGAGAAATTGAAGCCGAAGAGTAGCAGAGTGTAATGGGAAAAATATTTGGATTTTTACAGGAAGCAAACAAAACCCCAGAAGGCCAGAAATTGTTTTTTTTTTTTTTTTTTTATATATACATATAATTAATTTAAGTTTTTATACATATTATAAAATTTTAATTGTTACAAAATATATGTAATATAAGGTATTTATATGGGCGTAGACTAAAACATGGATCTCAAACAATGAATTTGTAGATTTGACCAATTTAAAACTAGAAGATTAGTAGGATATCATTTTATTATCAAATCTGCAGGTTTCTATCCTTTCTCAGATGGGTAAATTTGTTTTAATTTGAGTAAATAATAATAATAATAATAATCATCATCATATAAATAAATATGTGTGGCATGAGATTACATTTTCTAAAGTAAAATAAGGATATTTTGGTCTGAAATCTGTGATTTTATGTTATTTATAAATTTAGAAAATCATTTTCTTTAGATTTTTTTTTTCTTTTTCAATGAATTGGGTCAACGGAGATATTTAATGTGCTCTAATTAAACATATGTTCGTATTAAAACTAGAAGAAATTTTTGGAAATACAAATCAAACAATGTATTGATGAGAAGAATTGGAGAGGATGTTTTTAATATTTGTATGGAAATTGACTCAATGATATAGAAATATAATAATTTTGTTTATTTACTCTATATTATTCGTATTATAATTTAAATAATAATAAACAGAGTATCGGATTTTTTTATTTTTGATTTAAATTGAATATTTTTTTTAATTATAATTTAAAGGAGGAATTTTTTTATTTATTTTCAATGAATACTTCATTTTATTTATCTAATCAAATAAAATATATCGTATCTATATTTCAAGAAAGATGTCTAAAACTAGTTTTTAAAAATTGAATACTTTATTTTCCATCAAATAATTTATAAAAATTTTGTTATGCAGAAAATATCTACAATAATAAAAAAAAGATTAATAAATTCATATTTGAATTTGACCTCAATGTGTGAATTTTAACTTATAATATAGTTTTTTCACTCTCTTAAGAAATTTATTAGATTGATTTTTCCTGGTCTCGTATGCTTTAATTATTTACATTATAGTTTTTGTAATATAAGTCATTAATATATTTGGGTAATGGTTCATAGATCTTGGTCGAGAATCTAATATAGAAAATTAGTTGGGGAAGGTTGGTAAGTCTGTGAAATATGTGCTAGATTCTATCTGTAAATTCATAGTTATTGTAATTAGAACACAAAGAAAGTGCTACATAAAATAATAAAGTTGAAATCTTTTAGTATTTCAAATGAGATCTCCTCTAAAAAATCCTACGAAATTAAAATAATGGATTGCAAATTTTATCAAAAGCAATGAAATCTGTAACTTATTTTGTCAGATCCCACATAAAATCCAGTTTTAATTACTTTTCAATAAAATTTGTGTAAGAACGAACTAAAATAAATATAGATTTGCAGACAAATTCAACATAAATCCTAAATTTATTCAAAATTTATCTTAAATATAGACATAAAAATGAATTTCACAAATTTCTAAATCTTACTTCGTTTACCCGTAAAAACTTCAGCAACAAAGAAAACAAGAAAGTCACAAGGGGCTCTGTAAACCACTAAAATTAAGCTGACGTGACTAACTTGATTATAAAACAATGGAAGAAGCCCCTGAACAGCACGCACCAGAAGACTCAAAGAGGGAAGAGAAAATAACACGAACTCAAAGGACAGAGTTTACTACAAAAATGTGAAATTTAAAATATTTAGAACCGCATAAAATTTCTGGTTTGCACACTTCCCCCTAGCTGTTTTGTGTCTAAGAATGGACAATGATCTCATAATAAGCAGAAGAGTGTTCCATATAGGAATAAAGCATATTTCAATATGATAACGTAACAATTTAGATCATGTCTATTTCTGGTAAAACAAGGATCAGCATCAACGTGAATACAATCTACACAGGTCCTTTATGTACTTCCACGTGATTCTTTTCGGCCAAGCGTCTGAATTATTGCTTCCAAGAGTTTAATCTCATTATCTCGCTTAGCAATTTCTTCTTGTTTTGTCCGCAGCTCTTGCATATGCAGCTCAAAAACCTCTGCAGCAAAGAGTAAAACTTTCTTATGTGATTACAGGATCTACTAGTTCCATTCTCTCAAATCAGCACAAGGTACAAAAATTTCCAATCAAAACATTCAGAGTTGGCATTTCTGGGGCCTAGTCCAAATTCCAGAATCACACCATACTGCATGCTTGCTTGTTCAAACCATAACCCGGCCAGCAGAAATTACTCCCTTAAAGATATATATGTATGGATATTTCTTTAATGTTTTTTTTAGGACAAGGAACCCACTCAAGGTAGGGCCTAGCAAAATCAACCTTGCATTAAACATGAGTAGTAGCATTCTGGCACCTACTCTATGTTAACTAAGAATCTGAACCACAGAACAGAATTGAATCCAAGATATCTGAATTCCTAGTTCATCCCAGATTCACCCATGCCCACTGACTGAGGCAACCACATTGGCACGTTTGTATTATTGACATTATGAATAATCACACATTCATTCAATAACCCGTCCAATATCATGACCTCAAATTTGGGCAAAAAGTATATCAAATGGCAACAAATGAATCCATGTCTAGAACTTGTTTTTAGTCTGAGCAATATATATTATGGTTACAGGGGCGTTCAGTTGCGGTAGTAGCAGCTAAAAGAAGTCAGCTTATAAAATGGAGGTTCGTAATTTGCATTCTTAAAGTTTCCATAACATAGAAATTTGGTGTGATTAGTTTGCAAATTGCTCATAGTTCAACTAGGATAGGACAGATATTTTATTAGAAAATAGTAAAAATTGACCTCATATGCAATATTATACTTAACGGAATTTGGAATCCATATTTCGATTCCATATAGAATTCCATATAACATCAATTTTGTTACTTCATGGAGGATTTTTGTCGCATTTCAGTTAAATTAAGCACAAATTTGTAAATAAGTTCCACAAAATTTCAAAATCTGTCCTAAGCATAGCCTATAACTAAAAATTGGGAGTGCACTCCGTGAAAAGTCTACAAAGAGGAA